TTTTGCGAAGACCTATAGTTAACCTGGCCCCCAATTGAGATAGCTCGGGACGTCGGATTTTTATGAAAACGGAGTGATGTGGCAGCTAGTTCACCGTCGGGGATAGCGGCTACGACAGAGTTCGTGTCAACCGAAGAGCGGAATGAGAGAGAAGATGGTTCACAATCGACATCATCGTCCGACTCTAGTCCAGCAAGCTGTGCCTTGCCGAACGGAAGCAAGCCAGCCGACTGGGCCCGAGTGAAACAAGGAGAGGGGCGTGAGGTCGCAGGACGGATTGAAGCGACGACAGTTTGGAATGGAAATGATGAAACGGAGGGAGAGATAGATGAAGAGCAATGAACTGTCTTCGATTGCGAACAAACAGTGATATTAGAGGAGCTAGAATCATTAGCATCACTCATCGAAATAGCCGTTTTCTGCACTTCTTTCAGTGGATACGGGGTCGTTTCTTTAAAGGAAGAAATGACACATTTCGAGGATCGTTTTTCAGGTGAATGCAAATCTTTTACAGGAGAAAGGGGCGTTACAGATAAGGTGCAAGGCTGACGGGAAATCAATGATAGACTGCTGTTGGATTGCCTGTCGCAGTGAGGCAACAAGGGTGACGAAGGTGATGCTGAAGATGAAAGATGAGGGCTTAGAGTATTAGCCAAGCAGTTGGGACTGACAGAAAGAGCAGGATGTCTACGGATTCGATATTTTTGTGAAGAATGTTGCTGATGATGTAGAGGCTGAACTGGGCAGGGATGCTCGCTGAATAGTGGAGTAGGGAAATTGTCTGAATGTGTACTGTCACTGAAAGTCCGTCGTGGAAGTCGACGCAACTGCATAACGAAAAGAAAAGAAAACAATGCAATATCATAAAGTTATTTGGATGAGATCAAAAACATAGCCAAATAAACCAAATTACGAAGTTCTAAAGCCCATAACTGATACTAACCCGAGGTTTTGATCCTCCACTGTGTGTTAACCGGCTATCCTCGCCTACAGGTCCGGATAATATCAAACCAGGAGAGGATGGTCTTCTCCGAAAGGCTTTGTGCATCCGGTAGCCAGGACCCTCACCAGTTGGACTTATAAGTTTACTATTGACATGACTAGTGCTACCAAAATCGACAGAAGAACCAAAAGGATAAGTTCTTGTTGCGTTGGTGACTGTTTCGTTGCTGACCGCATCCTCCATTTGGGTTTTAACGGCTTTTCGAATAGCTAAATCAGATAGATGGGATTCAAGAGCCGGAATCGTATTAATGAGATTGGATGGAATAGGGGAGGAAAAGAATGAAGGGGTCACGAAGGCGGTGGATTGTGAAAAATGCATGTTAGGTGCTGCTGGAGCTGTGTTCTCCGAGGCGACATCAGCTGTTTGGTTTACTGGGAAGATGTCTAATGCAGCAATACTATTGTCATCAGCCAACTTCTCAGCCGAATTACAATGAAGCAGGTGGGGACATGTCTTATGCTCTTGATCAGATGTCGATTGCGGTGAGGCTAGACGAGAAAACATTGATTGCGAGCACGGAACTTGAGAAGTTACACGCCCAGTCGACATAGAAATATCATGCTGGTGCAGGATATCCTCAAGCGAGTAGGCATCGGGCTGTTTGTCGGAGGCAGGAAAGGAGGCAGTTGGCTGTGAAATTAGAGAATTTAATGTTTTTAGAGAAAGACAATTATTGGATAGCATCAAAAATACACATAATAGATAGTTAGTATTAAATATTTTAAGGAATATTTTGCAAAAAAATGTACTGCTTAAAGCAATATAGATAGAGTAGTGTAGCAGTGGTGAGGAAAAATGAATCCAAGATTAATAATAATTCAGTACATATATTTGCAATAGAAACTAATTAAATATAAAATTTAGCATTTACTGTACGCTTCCAGAAATGGAATTTGACCTCAAGAAATTTGAGGTGCTGACCTAAAATAATAGTTTGTCTCCCTCCCTTTAGCCTAAATTATGAGGAAGCTAGGATAGATTAATTTGTTAAACGAAAAAACTTAGCTAACCCATGGACATAGATTAAGAAAAAAAGTTTAATGCAAAAAAGACAAAAATCAAATGCTAAATATAAGTTTAAGACGACAAAATGTGTGCGATACTCCTAATATAATGAAAAAAATCATAGTGAAGGCAAGGAGGTCGTCATGATATGTAATTAATTGGATGCAGAAATAGAATATTTAGTCCAACCATAGATAAGTTCGACTATTAATCGTGTCAGCCTTGATTATATCATTACTCAGATCCATTTCATGTACCAAGAATCTATTACTTTAGTTTGGAATATCAATGCGATCAAGGACGATCAAAGCTAAATGAAAAAATTAAAGGTAGATGAAGCCAAGGATGCTGAAATAAGGTATCATAATTTTAATTTAATTATAACATTCAATAGCCACAAGAACATGGAAAAATTATAGACAAGATAAGAATAGTAACAGGCATAAATATGCTAGCAGCTAGTGCCTGGTTTAAACTTTAAAAAGTCCACATTGATTAAGAGATCAAATATAAAAGATAACTTTGGCATCTTAGATACGAAGAACAAGATATTGTGGGCGATATTTTGGTCGATGCCTCCTTTCGATGTATAGTAGTCATTTGACCTTGTTTCTGCAACTCTTTAATACTGGCTGGAAAACCTAGAAGAAAACACCTTGTCCGGAGTCCATAGTATGTGTGATAATATCCAAGTCAATTTTTTCCAATTCTTCATCTCAGAATTCCACGTTCGTTAATCGTAGGCTTCTGATGATCATGCTCCTCAGTATTCCTATTTTCATTCTGTAGTTGTGATTTGACTCGAAATTAATTATTATTCCGACATTTTACTTCTTTCGGAACAATTAAATCTGCAATGTCCCAGTAAAGCAATTGACCATCACATCTAGGAAAGCCAAGCGAACTTCTTCCTCTACATCAAATGTGAACATGATACTTAATTATCGGAAGCCTATTATTAACGGACGTGGAATTATGGGATCAATAATTGGAAAAATTGATAAGGATATTCCTCGGTAACGGATACTCGAGAGAATAAAAAAGCATACTGACCGTGAAGAGCCGATATCAGGATAGGGTTAAGAAAGAAAGGAAAAAGACTCACATAAGTGGATATATTCTTCCTGTGAACAAGCCCAAAAACTATGGCCAATATTAATAAAATGGAATATTCAGGTGACCAAGAAAAAAAAACACAAGTCTACCCACGCAACATGGGAGGGTAGACAAATTGAATTGCTCGAGAGTTTACTGCACAGCATTCGGCGCCTGTGAACAGAAATATATCAGCGAAGATGGGGAGAAAAATTAACATACGACTCAAGGAACATTAACGGCTCTGCATAAAAATGGATACTGAACACATCGCAGAGACTGGAAACGAGATCAGTTGGAAAACAACAGAAAGAAAAGCCTCATACGGTGAAATCACAAAGAAATATCATTGACATCCTTGATGAAAATAATTAATGAACAGGAAATTGGAAGAAGGCAGAGTAAGTGATAACTTTGCATACTGCCTAATCAAACATGAAGGAAACAGGGATGTGACAAAACAAGCAAATATGAGTCGCATGGATCAAGTATATATCGTAAACCATAGTAAAAGAGATCGCAAGGAATAAGAGGGTGAGGGAGTTTCGGAAATGAAGCAGACGTTCTCAGTAAGTGTAGCCATCTCAAATAAACAACTATAACTTTGGGGGGCTGACGTTTCACGTGACTAGGATGAAGGATTGATAAATAGTCAAATTGATATGCAGCAAGCGACTAGAGTACACGGATTTAATAAGAATTGAT